GTCTGTTTGATCTGGATTGTATATAACTTGTATCCATTTAATACTCATAGAAGGAATTGTAGAGTCATTTTTACTTTCATTCATCATACCAGAAAATATAGCATTTTCTGGAGGAACATACGAACATTTCTAAAAAGAACTTACAAATTACTTTTCATCACTTAAATACTTATGAACTCACCAACTTAAATGCTGATCTACTCTTTCAAAATAACTTGTATTCTCAGGAGAATAGTAGACAGGTACGCGCTCTGGGATTCAGAAGATGGAGCATAGTAGCTTCATGTCTTGTTTTGTTATTTACTTTTGGAGTCAATCTTATGTGCATCACATACTTTGTAAACACTTAAATATTAATGCAATGGTTGTTTGTTACTTTGATTACTATGATGCATGTGTTGTGATACTAAACATGACGTCCTCCGCCCCCGAACGTTTCCGCCGTTCCGGTTTGGGGGTGTGACAAATCGTAAGCATGACATGCTCTTAACCAAATAGGTCGTACTTTCAGACCGTATGAGGGATCTTGTGTCATAAAAGTGTGGTTTTAGTGCTTAGTTTTGCTCCATGCATATAAAAGCTCTTAAGGCATTAAGATGTTGCGATTTTGTTTATTAAGCACTTAATGGACATGCAAAGTCATAAAGTTGGAAACTTTATGACTCTTAGTGGTATTTTGGCCTTGTATCTGAAAGTTGGATGTGAGAGCTTAATGTATTAAGCTCTTATTGAGGAAATGGAGTTCTGAGTGTACGCCGTGCGTTCGTCAGCATGCGTGGTCAATTCCTCGACTCCGGTCAAGGCTCGAGTACGCTCAATGTAGGAGCTGAGTACGCCCCACGTACTTGGATGAGTGGACTAAGTTGACTCCTTGACCTGTTGAATTTGACTTTGTCTTTGACCAGGGTTGATCAAGTTTGACTTAAGGGTATTTTGGGTATTTTGAGCTATAGTTGAGCCTTGGTCTCTATATGTTGAATAGGTGACCTGTAGAACCGGTATTTGGAGCAGTGTATTGTTCAGATATTTGTCAGACTGTGCGGTGAGTTTTTCCTCACTGTACTTATGGGTCGAAGACAGCAAGCCCGACCCATTGGATTAGATATATTGATTTGTTGTATGCTATTATGCGAAGTTATGTGGTACTGGTTATGTGCTTAGTCTGATAGATCTGGAGGACTACATGTGTTATTTTTTACTGACTGATAATGTTATGCATTGATATGTTATGGTTTGTTGGGTTGATACGGACCAGTGGATAAACTGAAGGCCTGCGAGGCGGACCAGTCAGGCTGAAGGCCCAAAGAGCAGTCCAGATAGACTGTAGGCCCGGTTTGACGGTCCACTCATGCTGAAGGCTTTGTATGCATGTTGTTGTTTGTTATGTTTATGTGGTGGTACTGTGGGGGAACTCACTAAGCGTTGTCTTACATTTTTAGTTTTTGTTTCAGGTACTTCTGAGGACCGTGGCAAGGCGAAGGCGTAACCGTACACATCCTTGGTTTTATGTTGTTGATCTTGGGAGACTCTGATTTTGAATAATGTTTTTGGAAACAATGGTTATGAAAACACTTTTTTTTAGTAAATGGTTTGTTTTGAAAAATTTAAATTTCTTGTGATTTTTGAGATGTTACAGACGTGGTGAAGGACGATTTCACGATTTTTTTGTTGGGTTGCTGCCACAACGTGGTGTCATGTTTACCACGACATAATGGCAGAGTTGGTCACGACAATATTAAAAAGCCACAACATGGCCAGTGGTTGGCCACGTCGTGGTGACCGTTGACCGTTTACTTTTTGACCCGATTGAATTTTAGTCAAATTGCTAGTTTTAGAGAGTAGACTAAGGTTTTTACTTAGTTGTTTCATTAGTTATTGTGTAGAACCAGCCTTTCGACTGTACGAGTTTTTGGTGTTGTCGACTTCCTGTGTGAGGTGGGTCTTCTCACTATAATATAGAGGCTGCTAGTTGTCGTTGTGACTCTTGTATGGAAGACCAACATTTGGCCCTTGATAATTGTATGAAAGACTAGGATCTGACCCGTATTAATTGTATGAAAGACCGGCCCCTGGCAATTGTATGAAAGACCAGGATCTGGACCCTGACAAATTCATGAAAGACCAGGATCTAGCCCCTGACATATTGAAGGCCATGAGTTGGACCATGGCAGAAAAGGATTGTGAGACTATGATTTAGCCCATAACATTCACTTGGGGTTGAAATAAACCCGTGATATTATGTATGATATGTGGTATTTTGGGTAACTCACTAAGCTTTGTGCTTACGGTGTTATGTTTAGATGTTTCAGGTACTTCTAATTCGAAAGGGAAGGGCTTACATTGATCACACTACATCCCTTGGAGTTTTCCGCACTATTTATTTATTTATTTATTTATGAATTTACTCTTATGTTTTGAGAATACATTATACTTTGATTATCTTTTGGAATGAATGAATGAATGGTTTTGGTTGATGGAAAAATGGAAATTTTACCTAGTATTTTTGGGACGCTACACTACATATACATACAAAAAGTAAAAACAGATTATATAAAACATGTGGTGGTGTAATCCGGTGGAGAAGGGCAGTGGTGGCGGTATTCCAACAGCAGTTCGATTTTCCGAGCAAATTCTGGCAACAGCTAGAAATTTCGGCAGAGTTTAGCAATATTGAAAAAGGACTGAAACAATTTGACAAAATCGACGAATATGTCATTGGGGAGAAGAGAAAGAAAAACAAAAACAAAAAAAGACAGAGGTTTCACAAGAATTGCTCACCTGTCATCGCTAGTACTATAGTGGACGTCATCGGTGATGAGCTACCTCGTCGCCGAAGTAGATTGGTTAACAATTGTGGCCTTTGTCGGTGAAAATCCGACGGTAGAGACGCATTTTCGCTGGAGTGTTGATAGAGAGAAAATGGTTAGTGGAAGAGGGAAGAATGGGCTGCCAAGGGTAATATATGTGTCGCGTATTAACGACGACGGTAATCAATTGCGGCAACACTAAGAGTAATAACGGTGACAACTTTGAAGGGAAATATTGACGGGCATTTTTTTTTAGTAATAGCGGTGCCACCTGTCTCCGGTATTGGTGTCAACGCTATTGTTGTATCCGTATCGTGGTTCCAGCTATTAGATTAAGCAATAAATCGATGGATTGGGTTTAACCCTAGATATTCATATGGATTGGGGTCAACGGGTTGTAGTGACGACACCTATAGCGACGACAGTCATCATTAGCGGCGACATCTAACACGAATGTTGGGTGTCGCCGCTGATAATGGTTGTCACCGCTAAAGATGTTGCCACTAAAACCCAATATTCTTGTAGTGGGTCCACCAACCTATTTTTACAAATAAATTCTACAATGTCCTATTTTTACAAACTTTATCCAAAATAACCAGCGCTTTATATATATATATATATATAATATATATATATATATATATATATATATATATATATATGGAAAAGTTCAATAGAGAACCATAATTATTGGTTCTTCAAGGAACTAAATTTTTTTTTCAATTTCTAGAGCTTATTCTTTATCGAAAAAAAAAATCTAAAAATATCTAAATTCATATATTAATATTGTGAATGTCAAAAATATTTTTCGGATTCACCGTGTGAATCCGGATTCACATTGTGAATTTTCAAAGATTCACATTGTGAATTTGACGTAAAAAAAAAAAAAAAAAAAAAAAAAAAAAAAAATCGAATTTGGAAAAAGGATAAAAAGTTATGAAGTTCTATATTTTTAGTTTTTTTTTTGATAAAAAATAAGTTCTAAAAGTTGAAAAAAAAATTAGTTCCTTGGTTAATTATGGTTCTATATATATATATATATATATATATATATATATATATATATATATATATATATATATATATATATTAATATATATATATATTATATATATATATATATATTATATATATATATATATATACCAAGAAGACAACAGGAAACAGTTAATTGACGATATTTAGTAGAGTGTGTAATTGCTTTTGTGTTGGCTAACTGTTCCTTTAATAACTACGCAAATATAATGAACAAACTTTACACCTTAGTATCGACTTGGCTGGAGCCCATTTGGCTATTACCATCTTCATGTGAACCGTGACCCACGATGTTTAAACTTAAAAGTATGATTACCCATTTGGCTATTACCAATTGACCAGCCTTTATTTGTTCAGAAAGTGAGGAACGGATCTTAGTAGAATGATATTATTCTATGAACCTATATTCTAGACTACTTTGTCTTTTATATCATGTGCTATTATACCTAATCCAGAATTAAGTATTCACAAAACAGAAGTGGGAAAAAATACACATTAGTTCGTTTTCTGTGACTCTCGCAATTCTTGAATCTCAAAACATAGAACAGATATTTACTTGGCTTGTCTATTGCTATTAACCTTTTACAAATTTTTTAATCGCCAGACACTGTAAACTTTTTAGAAAATCGCATTGTGGTTGGCGCGAACATTGATGAAACAATTCATATGGTAAGTTAAAACTGTTTCAGCTTTATATTATATTTAAATATCCAAAGAAAGATAAACTCATGTATACTTGACTGGTTGTTTGAGTTCCTCAACAACGTTAAATTCGAGCTTCATAAAAAGCATCTATGACAAAATAAAACTGGACAATATTTTAACCCCATTTGTGTGATTTATTAGACATATGTTGATGGATGAAAGCACACAAAAGTGAAAACGATGATTCAAAGGAAATGTTATTTATCCAAACTAAGGAAAAATATTAAATTTCAGAAAGATCTCTAGGCGTAGGAAGGTTATCGATATCTAATTTAAAAATTAAAATAATACCTTATATTACTGAGATTCATTAATAAAGCCTTGGATTCATACTAGTTGATGGTAGGATATATGGAAAAAAAGGCATGCATGGGTCTTATAATAATACCGCATGGTTTACCAAATGTAATAGTTATTTAGTTTGGTGCAGTCAATAAAGACTTTGAACGCTCTATTGTCAAGATTAACTTAGTTGCATTATTGATTAGTGATTACCCTCTTCCAAATGATCAACACTACCTGAATTCACGTTCAGAGTTTTAATTATTCAAACCTGAAAAAGATGAGAACTCTGTATATTCTCACATCTTTATGGATACTCGTTTCACAAAACTTGCAAACTTCCATGTGTATAGATACCTTGAAACCCAACCAAAACTTCACTGAGGGCTTGACCTTAATCTCCTCCAACCAAAGATTTGAATTTGGCTTCTTCACTCCTGGTAATGGTTCTTCTGGTTCTCGATATCTTGGAATTTGGTATCATAATCTTCCTCTCACAGTGGTTTGGGTGGCTAATAGAAACAACCCTGTTCGTGATTTACCTGGAAAGGTAGTTTTACTCGAAAATGGAGTTTTAATCCTTTATAATCACTCATTGGCTACTGTTTGGTCAACCAATAACTTACCCATCAAAAGTACTTTCAGTCCCGTTCTTCAGTTATCAAACTCCGGTAATCTTGTAATTAGAGATGATGGGAGAAACAACACCATTTTCTGGGAGAGCTTTGATTTTCCAACTGACACAGTTTTATCAGATTTGAAACTGGGGTGGAAGTTAGACGTTGGATTACAAAGGTTGATTAGATCTTGGAAAAGCATTGAAGATCCTTCAGATGGTGAGTATACGTTTAGTCTTGATCCACCGGAAGCACCACAACTTGTTCTTCGAAGTGGTTCACGAAAACTTTTCAGATGGGGTCCGTTTGATGGGACCTCGTTTAGTGGTAGCACTACCTTGACTATAAATCCATTGTTCCAGTCTACATATGTTTCAAATTCTGTAGAGCTCTACTACCAATATGAAATGTTGGATGAATCCGTTTTGTCTAGACTTGTAGTTTCACCCTTGGGTTCTCTTCAGTATTTTACATGGAGGGTTAACATCAGTAAAGAATGGAACCTTTTGGTATCATTCAACACTGATCCTTGTGATAGCTATGGAAAATGCGGCTATTATGGGATTTGTTATTCACTAAGTAGTTGCAAGTGTTTGAGTGGGTTTACACCCACTTCGCCACTCGACTGGGGTTTATTTAGCTACTCAGGTGGGTGTAAAAGGAAACACGAACTGGAATGTGGACATGGAGATGGATTTGTGAAATACGATGGGTTGAAATTTCCTGATAATCCAACTGTTTGGTCAAATTACACGGATCATGAATGTGGAACAAAATGTTTGGAAAATTGTAGTTGTATGGCTTATGCTAACGTTAATGTTTACCGAAATGGTAGTCTATGTGTGGTGTGGATTGGTGATTTGATTGATATGAAGATCTTTCCCAATGGTGGAGAGAAGATCTACATACGAATGGCACGCTCTGAATTACGTATGTTCTCTAACTTTCTCATGGGCTTATAGAGTTGCATTCATGAACTTTCGTAATTAAGAAGATTTACATTTCTCTGCGTTGGTTATTTAATCACAGAATCCATTGCTGATGCTAAGAGGAAACGTGTAACAGTCAAGGTCGTCAGCATAGTTACAGTCCTTGGATCGCTGCTTCTATTCAGTGGTGCAGTATGGTACCTCAGTTGGATAACCAGGGTAAAAAGAAAAGATGGAATAACTCAGAACTCTAAAGGTATTCTCAATGTTCATATAATGTGCATGGAATAAACTCCATTTTGGTATTATTATTCTTTATTTCACTGTTCATGTAATTCATCGCTTTGTAACAGGTCAACGAAGTGGGAGTTTTCAATACATGGAAGATAACCAAGATGAAGGATTTCAACTGCCTATCTATGATCTTGATACCATTTTACTTGCATGTAACAATTTTTCTGAGAGAAACAAGATTGGACAAGGCGGTTTTGGTTCTGTGTATAAGGTAACTCACCACATAGCGCCTGTTGTTTGTAAGATTGTTGAACAACACGAAGTTCGAATACGTTTTCTTAGTATATGTACCCATGAATAAAAATGGGTAATTTTGATTATGAATAAAAATGGATAGTTTTTCAGGGTAGGTTCTAGTATGTTTTACTGAGTATACCTATACCCATGAGCATTTTTTTACGGTTTTATGGAATTATATAAATAACTATGATATTCAAGAATAAAAGTAATGATTCAGCTTTTAAGGAAAATAATTTGGGTAGTGAACGTATTATATCTTTAAGTATATTTTTATTAATTAACAAAGAACTGTGCTTTACAATGTTAATTTGTGCTCGCAGGGTCAATTATCGAATGGGCAAGAGATAGCAGTTAAGAGGCTTTTAGAGAAGTCGATACAAGGCGTTGAAGAATTAAAGAATGAATTAATTTTGATCGCAAAGTTACAACATCGTAACCTTGTCAAACTTTTGGGTTGTTGCATTGAAGGTGAAGAAACCATGCTGGTGTACGAGTATTTGCCTAATAAAAGCTTAAACAACTTCATTTATGGTACGTTATACTCCCCATGTCTCATAATTCATTTCGGTATCCCTTATATGATTTATTCAGTGTCAAATGATTTAATTATGACAAAGGCAGCACAAAATAGTTGAAAATTAGCGAAGATTAAAGACATGGTTTTGTTACTTAGCGTTGGACATCTTGGAAAATTTAAGGATTAACATCCAAAAGAGCTTAGGCATGTTTGGTATAAACTAACTGATAGCTGGTATTTAAAAGTTGAAAGAGAGTAGCCGGAAGTAAGCATATAAGCCGTTTTGGAATCGAAAAAAAAAACGAAAACCGAATAAGCTTTAAATTAAGAACCGAAAATCGGACCGAATACCAATAATTAGTTCCGTTTCCGGTTCAGTTCGGTTCTATCTAAGAAGGTGTTTGGAACTGGAACTGGCACGAACCGGACCGAAACCGGAAAATCAAAAGTCGAATAACCCGTCAACTAAGAGCCGACAACGGGACCAAATATCACTTAACGGTTCCGGTTTTATTTTTCGGTTAAAACGTTTATCCGTAGCCAGAATGTGTACATTTTATTTGCTATATGAATGTTCGACAAAAGTAGGTAGAAACTTTTGAAATGTGTAAAATTTTATAAAAAGACAATTAAAAGAGATTTTGATAATCTTATTAAGAGCAATTTTGAAATTTGATTAGAAAAAATTAATAAATTTTTTTTTCTTAAACGTTAAATGAAGTAGTTTTTAGATTTGAAGTTTAAAAAAAAATCAAATCAAAATGTTCGTACTCACTAACGATTTTTTTTTTTTTGTTTAAAATAAATTTTTGTTAAAAGATAAAAACTAAAAGCACCAAAAAGTCCACTCCCAAACACATCTTAAATATTAATATTATAATGAAAATATACACTAGAATAAGAAAAAAAAGGAAATAAATTGATACCAACTATTCCACCGCGAAAAGGTGGGGGAATACGGGTTGCTCTATACAATTGGTGGCACATCTTCTACTCTTAGCGCATCACCTTCGTTGAAGTTACAGTGGTTACAGACAGACATTGCCTTTTTTTTTAGGGTACTATGGAAATATAAGAACGATCATGCTTTACTTTTTAAGGTGAAAATTACCCCAATGATAGTCTATAAGGATAACAACTTTGCCTTCTTATGTAAAGTTCCAAAAATTTAGACTAAAAATTTCGATTTTTAAATTAATAAAACAATTATCCAAAACATCATAAAAACCATGGTGAATCAAAGTGTATCAATAACATCCAAGTATATGAGAGTAATATAACAATACAGAACGATGTGGTGTGCGCACTGCAATCATCCTGGGTTCTTCCCCTTCGAACCAGAATTACCTTAAACATAAACCGAAAACCGTAAGCATAAAGATTATTGAGTTCCCAAAAATACCACATACCACACATATCAAATATATAATGCGCCCGCCCGTCATCGGGCCCCGCCAGGTATACATATATACACATAAACAAATAATCATATAACTCATACAATAATCGCAAAGATAAATAGCATACAGGATAGTCATCGGGCCCCGCCCGGTAAAGATATAAACACATATCACATGAAAAAGTCACGCAGACAACTAGCATCCTAAACATAAAAAACCATGGGCCAGCATTAGTCCCTTCGACCCCCTAAACACAGTGAGAAAACTCACCTTTAGCTACTGAATCTCCGCGCTAACATCATTAAATAATATCCAATTAATAATTGGATCTCGACCCATAATAAAAAATCTAAGCTACTTGTCTAATATCCAGGGTAAAAGACCATTTTACCATTTTTCTTACTTGGCCCAAAACAAAGGCCCAACCCATTTGCTGAAAAGGCCCAAAATTTCTAATTGGCATCATAAGGCCCAATAAGGCCCAACTTCCAAATTGGGCCCTAAAATCATCATGGACCTAATCGCAAGAAAGTCTATAGTCTATCCATGGCCCAAAGTCAGAAGTCCAATGGCCCAACAAGGCCCAAACCCTAAAAGCCAAAATATGGCCCAAACCGATGAAGTCAAACTGAAGGTCAATCTACTGAGTACGTGGGGCATACTTAGCTCGTACACTTAATGTAATCCTTCAGGGGCTAGTACGCACAACGTACCAGCTGGGTGTGCCCAACGTACTCCCCAAATTACCAACCCAACCCATTTATCACTTAAATGGTTAAGCCAACATGCTAAACTCTCATATCTGATTCTAAATGACGACGTAATACGCATAGTTGACAACTTTACACCCATGCATGACTTATTGGGGTCCAACACTAAAAAAGAACTTAATAACACTCTTAACACTTGTGTGGACCAATAACTCTCATAAAGTTTGCTTTTTTATGAACAAGGAACCTCAATGGAGCTAAGATCTAACATCCATAGCTTCTAGAGTAGATCAAAAGCTCAACTTTAGCTCTAAAGTCCCAAAAATACATAAATAACACCTTAAGTTGGATCTAGCATAAAGAATCATCAATATGGGAGCTTTTTACCTCAAATGTCTTGCTAAGATGAAGATGACCCTCGATCTACAGGCCCAAGCTACTTCCAAGGAACCACCAAGTGTTCTTCTTCTTCTTCTTCTTCACTAGAAACACCACCAAATCTCACTTTCAAGCTCAAAACTCACGAAAAGCACTTAGGGTTTTGTTTTTAGTGTGGAGAGTGATGGAGGCTGCTCAATAGAATGTCCAAAGGTGTTATCAGTTGCTTAAATAGGGTGTAAACCCAAAAAATTAGGGTTTACCCCTGCGCCACATACGCCATGCATACTCCACATACGTACCGTGTATGTGGGTGATTTCTGCGACCAGAAAAGAGCTAGTATGCTAAACGTACTCATAGAGTACGCCCCACGTACTAGCTAGGGACCAAAAAGATTTAAATTTTGCACTAAGGAGCTAAAAGGAAACATACCAAATTACGAATGTTACAATTCTCCCCCACTTAAATCGGACTTCGTCCTCGAAGTCTGCTGCCCTAAATAACTATGAGTAATGCTCCATCATATTGTCATCCGGTTCCCACATCCATTTTGAACCCTTGCAATGTTGCCACCGAAACTTTCACCAACTCAACAACTTTATTCCTCAAAGTTTTCGTCTTCCTGTCAAGAAACAACACCGGTCTCTCAATATAATCCAGGCGATCATCTACCTGAATATCCTCGAATGGAACCACCGCGGAATCATCAACTAAACTTTTCCGCAACTGAGAGATGTGGAATGTTCTATGCATTTGACTAATGTCCTAGGGAAGATCCAAGCCATAAGCAACCCGATCGACCCGGGCCAAAACCCTGAAAGGACTGATGTACCTGGGGCCTAACTTGCCCCTCTTACTGACTCAGATGACACCTTTCCAAGGTGACAACTTCAGTAGAACCATATCCCCAACCTGGACCTCTAGATCTGACCAGAGCTTGTCGGCATAGCTCTTCTGCCGAATCAACTCGGTAGTCTTGAGTACCACTTCGTCTGGAGTCTACTACAAACCTGCTGAATCAACTCCGTTGTAACAGCCCAAAATTCACGCCCAAAAATTTCATTTTTATTTAAATAACTCATAAAAACATCCATTAGAAAATACTGTGAAAACACGTCGTCTCATAAAACAATGTATCATGTCTGAAACCCAAGTCATAAACTAATAACATATCAGAGTACAGTCCCAAAAAACTTCTATGCGGAAATCATGTGTGTGTGTGATGCGATGCTACGTCTCCGGCTCCTTCCCCTTAGACGAAGAGGTACCTGAAACCAAAACTGAAACCGTAAGCACAAAGCTTAGTGAGTTCCCCCATCATACCACATACCATACAATATCATCGGTATCTTTCAACCGGTAATCTTCGTCGGTATCTTTCAACCGGTAAGCATCATCGATATCTTTCAACCGGTAATCATCATCGGTATCTTTCAACCGGTAATCATCATCGGTATCTTTCAACCGGTAACCATCATCGGTATCTTTCAAGCGGTAACCATCATCGGTATCTTTCAACCGGTAACTGGGGACTATTCCACCCCCTACCACTAGCATACAATAACAAGATATAAGCTTACAGTCAGGCATATCCGGGTACTGACCTACCCTTTGGTCCTAAGGACCACTGTCAAGGAAACTATCCCTATCATGTACGTAACATATCATACAGATATAACTCATAACCAAACACATAACCAGACCAAGATAATTATCACAAAGACAATCATCTTCTAAATACTCCTCATTGGTGGGTCGACATTGTGGCCTTAGACCCACCCCTACTGGAAGGTAACTCACCTCGTACAAGAAGCTGCTGATAATCTGTGCGGGAATCCTCCGTCCGCCGCTGCTCCGGAAATCCTCCGGCTACAATCCCCACAAACACTCAGTTAGAAACTGATATCTACTCTTAGGGTAAAATGACCATTTTACCCCCAACCAAGTCCAAGTCCAAGTCAAAGTCAACTTCTAGTTGACCGGACTCGCCGAGTTGGGTCGTCAACTCGCCGAGTCCCTCACCCTTTACTCGTCCTCATTCATGACCCCACTCGTCGAGTTGGGCCGTCAACTCGACGAGTTCTTCTCTCATATGAACCTCACATGAAAACTCATACGACTCGCCGAGTTGATGAACAACTCGTCGAGTTCACCTTCATCTGATGAACAGGTTCTGTCCTCGGCTCACCGAGTTGATGAACAACTCGTCGAGTTCATCTTCATCCTTAAGAAGATTGCCTTGGACTCGCCGAGTCTGTTCTAGCACTCGCCGAATCCCATGAACTCCAGGTCTAAAATCACGTCCAATGCATTGGGTAACTCTTTCTGTCCGGTTACAAACCTTCTAACACTCAACTGGGTTCCTTTGACCCTCAACAGATCTGGGCTCAAAGCCTCGGACTCGTCGAGTCCAAGAATGGACTCGCCGAGTTGGTCACGTCCACACTCTAAATCTTTGGTTTCTGATGTACAACCTTTGATCAAAAGATAGATCTAAGCTTCTATAATCGATCTAGCACGTAAAG